AATTATTAAGGCCCCTATATTATGACACTATCTTCCGTAACTCCCTAAACCCTAAACCACGAATCCTCACGTCGACTCCGTAGCCCGGAAATCAGACTCCTGCATTGGGCAAACCGTGTCACTAGCCCTAAACCCTATACCTCAAACATCCTGAAACCCTGAAACCCTTAACCCTACGTATCAGACCCTGAAGCCCTAAACCCTGATACCTTGAACATCCTTCAACCTAATACCTAAACCCTAAGCCGAACCCGACTGTAAACCCCTCAATAAGCCCTCTACCCAGACCCCCAAAAGGATCTAAAAAATACATCCCCTAAGGGGGTTCCTATAAAGTACCCTTTAGTCTAAGGCCCTTTAGTAGTTATAGGGTCCCTGATTAGGGGATCTATCTTTAGATCCTTTTGCTTAAAGGATCATGGAACTTAGTAAGTAGGGTTATAACAAAGGTAACTATACTTATAGCCCCAATTAGGGGACTTATAGCCTTACTTGCTAAGTCCCATGATCCTCCAAAATAGATCCCCTAATTAGGACCCTAACTGCTAAAGGGTACTTCATAGGAACCCCCTTTTAGGGGATCTATCTTTAGATCCTTTTGGGGGTCTGCGTAACAGCGTGGGCCAAGAGGCGTTCCTCCACGGCGGCCAGACCTTCCGAGGCCAAGGCCACGGCTTCCCCGTCTCCTGCAGACTCCGCCATGGCCTGGTCCCCCAGACCCCCAAAAGGATCTAAAAAATAGATCCCTTAAGGGTTTAGGGTTTAGGGTTTAGGATCTAAAAAATAGATCCCTTAATTAAGGGGGTTCCTATGAAGTACCCTTTAGTAGTTAGGGCCCCTAATTAGGGACCCTAACTACTAAAGGGTACTTTACAGGAACCCCCTTATAAGGAGATCTATTTTTTAGATCCTTTTGGGGGTCTGGGTCGTTTTGGGGGCAAAGAAGGGCGGGAGGGCGTGGGGGGGTTCGGAGTTTCGGGATTTAGGGCTTTGGAGGGTTTTCGGGTTTAAGGGGGTTTAGAAGGGGATTAGGGGTTTTGTGCTTTAGGGTATCGTTTGTCAGGGGTCTAGGGCTATTTTTGCCTCCTACCTAGCAAGGACAAGCCCTCTAGGGCTATTAGGGTCCATGGTTTAGGGTTTAGGGGTTTGAGGTTTAGGGATTCAGTGCGGTGTCCGGTTACTTCAAGGCAGTGCAAGGCTCAGGGCGGCCATGTTTCACATCTTTACGGCCAAGCGATGCGGAAAAGTGAGCCCCTCCCCTCTGACGGGCTTCTCCGTGGAGGCCCTTTCGAAGTTAGGGCTTAGGGTTTAGCGGTTGCCAAACCTTCCAAGTTGAAACCACGCCCACCCTGAACTCCCCAGAGAGCCCTAGGTTCACAATGCCCCACAGCCCTACCTAAGCCCTGAAAAGCAGGTAGAGTACTGGCCCATCCACCTATAAACAGCCACTATTCTACACACTTTTGCGGTCTAGGAACCCCTAAACCCTAAACCCTGAACCCTAAACCCTGAACCCCCTGAACCCTAAACCTGAACCCTAATCCCTAAGCCCTAAACCCTAAACCCTGAACCCTAAACCCTAAACCCCCTGAGCCCTAAACCCTGAACCCCCTGAAGCCTAATCCCTAATCCCTGAGCCCTAAACCCTGAACCCTAAACCCTAAACCCTAATCCCTAAGCCCTAAACCCTGAACCCCGAACCCTAAACCCTAAACCCTGAACCCTAAACGGTGGAGCCCCGAGCTCCGAAAGGTAGGAGCCTTGAAGCGAGCTATGCCCTCTGTGTCCGTGCTTTCCTTCAGTGTCTCCAGGATCTTTCGCATTTCCTTGGGAGCTGAAGGGTAGTTTCGGGTTTAGGGTTAGGGTTTAGGGTTTAGGGCAGGGTTGGGCAGGGGGTTGTGTTTACTGCTTAAACATTTACCGTTTAAACGCCGGGATGCTTAAACAGACGGGCCCTGCAGCAGCAGCAGTTGTTTAAACTGTTTAAACGCTTTTCAAACGCTAAACAGTTTAAACAAACAAGAGTGTAAACGCACAAATGTTTAAGCATCTCTACTCTGAGCTGTACCATACACTCACTTTACCGTCAACCTTGCTAAAGCACAGGCCCACACCGAAGCCTGTAAACATGAAGCGATTACGCACAATGAAACGGATCTAAACCTTATAAGGTCTATAGACCCCATTGCACTGACTTAGTTTAAAACAGTTTAAACGTTTAGACGGTTTAAACGGTGGAACAGCACTTCGGAAGGTATGAGAAGCAGGACGTGTTTAGGGCGTTTACGGCGGTTAAACGGTTGAACCGCTTTTCTTGTGGAACTGTGGTGATAGCACCATTCACGCCTCGCTCCCGCTCGTGGTGACTGGACGCTGACCTGCAATTGTGTCTTCAACTGTTTAAATGTTGGGGCAGCACTTCCGAAGGCATGAGAAGCAAGACGTCTGGGGCGTTTAAACGGTTTAAACGTTTAAACGGTTTAACAGCACTTCGGCAGGTATGAGAAGCAGGACGTTTGGGGCGTTTAAGCGGTTTAAACCGCCTGAATACTCTCGTGGCGAGTGCAACAATGGAGGGTGCTCCAGAGTGGAGTGCCATTGAGCTGCATACGACTGACACCCTCCCAAACACAGCCTGCAACCGTGCAAAAACCCTCCCATGCTGTCCAAGTATCGGCACGTGCCTCGGCGGCCAATCCAGCAAGACCACTGTTGGAAGCGGAGAGGGCAAAGGTGAGTAGCCTTGGATGCATGGCCCTTCTCACATTCTGGGGGAGTTTAGGGCGTTGAATGAAATATGTATGGCTTGTGGCTGGGCTTTCTGGTAGGGCTTCTGCCACTGAGGGCACCATAAGCAAAAATGCAAACACCCAGAGACACCCACAACCTGAAAAGCCACAAGATGTAGGGATAAACAGTGCCTCAAGATTCACAACGCGGCTGTCAACATTGGACATGTCATGACGTCAGGGTGGCGTGGTACTTACACGTATCGAGATCTCTCTCCCATCACATTGCACAACATACCATTACAGTGCACTGCATTATATATCTCACAGTACATTTCCTCTACATGCTCATCTACCATCATCTACCCTTATTTACATGCATGTACCTTTTTAGCAGCCGCAGGCGAGATTTACATACACCTCAGCTTCAACTCAACTTGAAACTGCCTGCGTCTCCCGTAGTTGGAAGATGCGGATGCGCAGTTCCCCGTAAACTCCCAGTGAAGCCTCAACGAACCCCAACCCCAAACAGCAGTCTGCGGCCTCAGGAACCTCGTGGGGTCCTGGGAGGCAACCTCTGTCTGAAGAAGGCCATCCAGCGCCTTGCGACAAGCAGAAAGCGACAGTTGCCCGCCATTTTTGAAAAGGGACGTCAATTCCAAGACACCTCTTGAACTCCACATCCTAGATACCGTGCAGAACCTATTCGACGTCCGTTAGATTGCTTCAAGCCTTGGCTTGGTTTGCACCTGCATCGCGTCCCCGGCACCCTTTCAGCACTTGGATGACATAGCGAGCGCAGATTCCCAGTAATACCGCGAAGTTGCAACCCCCGATCGCCCATGAAAACCTTACACCTGCCATTCCCATTGGTTCGGAGCATTCCAGACTTAAAAGCCCTGAAGTTCCTTGCTTCGTTCAGGCAGGCGAAGGGTTTGAAACACTAGCAGCAATCAAGTGCGATGTCTCTACCCACACGGGACATTTCTGCAAAGATAGCCCTAAACCCCCAGTTACCTACTATATAGGGTACTAGAGCCCCTAGGGCCATATAGAGTAGGTACCTGGGGGGTTAGATAGCCTTCAAGGACTGCTAGAACAGCAATCTTTGTGAAGAGCCCTAAGGCGAACTCGAATCTCGGACCTGAGACTTCAACCGAGACCCGAAGAGAGACGTAGGATTCCTCATCCAAGGGTTTAGGGTTTAGGGCTTTAGGGCTTTAGGGTTTTAGGGTTTTAGGGTTTAGGGTTTAGGGTTCCTCATCCAAGGACACCTGACTCAGGTACCCCCGACTTTAAGAAGCCTCAACCTGAACTCGAAGGAAGCGGATCCCAAATGCGGGCCTGCTTGATCTGCTCTCCGACGCTGGGTTGAGCCTGCACGGGTTCGGGTCTGGCTTCTGTGTTTCGTCTCAAGGTTTTTCTAAGACTGACCGGGCAAAGGCCCAAGGCTTGCACGATGGAGGGTGAAGATCCAGAAAGCTTTCCTGCGCCACCACATGAAGAACTGTAGAGACTATGCTTCTCGGCTGTGCCTCTCAGAACAAATCACGGAGGTTGATCTGAAGCACATGGGTTCCGCTGGCGGCTCCTAACAATTGAAGCCCAAACCTCACCTACTCATGTTCCCGCAGCTGCAGCTATTGCAACAGCAACAGCAACAGCTACGACGACGACGACGACGACGACGACGACCACAACAACAACAACAACAACAACAACAACAACAACAACTACTACTACTACTACTACTAAAAATCATACTGATAATAGTCGTGGTATAGACGATAACTGTCATCATCTTCATCGAACATGGTACCAGTGATTAGAACCAGTAGAAGACGAATGGTAGTCAGAATGACATGAACCCAAAGCTCTGGGCCTCCAGTCTTCGACCTCAACACGAACTCGCTCTCCTGCCCTAAACCCTAAACCCTAAACCTTAAACCCTAAACCCTAAACCCTAAACCCTAAACCCTAAACCCTAAACCCTGCCCCGGGCCTTTTTCTTCCTCCCCGCTGCCGGAGGCATCACCTGCTCCACCTTTCAGAGGCAAAACTTTCACAGCACTTGGTCTTCAGATCCTTCCCAAGGCTTTCATGCACGCGCCAAGCCCCGACAAACAAGATGTAATAGGGGGCGTTAGCAATTAGAATGGGGCTTCGAGGATATATATATATATATATATATATATACATATGCACTATAATTGTATAGGGACTACAACTGACTATACCGGGATACTATTAGTCATATATTCCCACCCCTACCGCAAACACCTCAGCCCCGCCTGGCACTCCTGGGCCTTCTGCTGCATCTTGGCCAGAGCGGCCACGCCTACCTCCACGCCTGCGACTTGCGCAGCCTCAACCTGCGAAAAAAGCGAGCGCCAGCTGCTAATAACTGCCCATACATGTATGTATGTATGTATATATGTATGTATGTATGTATGTATACGTATGTCATCGTTCCATCTCTAACCTGCGGGCCACGTCCTTGTGGGGCTCCCCAACGACTGACGAGCAGTCACCGAGAGCACGCACACACACGCAAATAATTCATATACAATCGTAGCTTCAGTGTCTTTACATTGGAGAGCCTGGCCTATATCCACCAGTAGATCACAAAAAACCATCAAACATATCATCTTGCTACCACTGCGACGACGACGACGACAGCTACTACGACGAGGCAGCTACTGCCGTCACCAGTAACAGGACCGCTGAAAATAACGACAACGGTTATCGCCCCTAATTAAGCCCTAGACCCGCAGATGGATCAACCAACCGACGGCAGCAGTAGCAGATGCCGGTCGGCATGCTGGAAGTTGCTTCTTGCGAGATATTGAGTGCAACCAGACGTCCTAAAATGCCGCGGGAGGAGGTTGGTTTCATGTGTAGCTGATGTTCAAACACTTCATGGCCCCATACTCGGACATGCTTTGGGTGTCTCATCTACATCCCGACTCGTCCGGTGATCGCTCAGGCACCTGTTTGGTGAGCATAGCCATGGCCCTCGACTGAACCTGCGGCCACTTCCACCGCATCGTCGTCTGGATGCACTGGAGGACCTCGGAAGGCAAGTTCTAAGTTCGTTGCCTGGCTAAAAGGCGATGGTCCTAATCCGATACCTTCTGGCGCGCAGGAAGGATTTGGACTCAGAAAAGGTGTCGGCGTCTGCTTGGGGAATAGCATGGGTGGGTCAGTTTTCTGGTGGCTCCTCTGCGGTTATGCCTAATGTGCGTGAGGTGCAGGTGTCTAAGCTGCATCATGTAATGATCCCATCGCAAGACTTGGAATAAACGTGATGCCGGCATGAACACAGCACGACCAAACGATGGCCAAGCTTGGCCAAGACCCTACCATAAGAAATGCATACATGTCAGAGGCGCAGGTTACTTTTGCAGGCTCGGCGCTGCTTCCGGATCCTTAGTGTGCAAAACAGTGCTGCGCATCTCAGGCGTGCCAGGATTCCTTGTGAAACCTATAGCCTGCAAAAGTGGCGCGACGTTCTGCAGGATGCCATGAGGTGGTGACTGATAAAGCGTCGAATGCGAACAAGCAGCTGCCATTTAAGCTGCACCATAGAAGGAGATGCAAACATCTGATATATGACAATAAGCACTTCCACTCCCGGGCACGCATGTATGCAGTCCAAGCTGCTTTCTCCGACGAGCCAAGGACGGTCTCTACCTCTGGCAAAGCCGGCAGGCAAAGTGCAAGTGCAGCAAACTTCGTGCCGTCGGCTTTTTGCATCACACGTCTCTGAATCCAGACAAGATCAAACCCGCAAAGAACCCTGTGGAACTTCATCACAGATTAATATAGGGCCCTGAATAATTAGTTAGAATACAGGTATTATACTTATACTATATTTATACTAAGGAGCCCCAAAAATAGTATTGGTAATTCTTTAGGCCCCTATATTCTACGAAGATCCTATAAGCGTCCTATACATGCCGAGAAGACGCCCAAAAGGATCTAAAACATGGATCCCCTTATTAGGGGCCCTAACTACTAAAGGGTACTTCATAGGAACCCCCTTAGGGGATCTATTTTTTAGATCCTTTTGGGGGTCTGGGTAGAAGACGCAAGCTCTCTCGCAAGCCCGCCCGGAATCCGGGCCTCTGCCCGGCCCATCAGCTCTCGCTCTTTCCATCGGCCGAGGACTTCTTTGAAGACCGCCTTGGCTTATAGGGTTTGCAGGATTTTTGCCGGGATATTTATAGGGGCTGGGTGAACTTGGAGTTCGCAGCACCTTCTTTTTGGTCCCGGGTTTGGGACGCGTCGGGTTTGGCGTTCGGGATTTGAAGGCTGGCGAGGATAGGAGTGTCTGAAGGAGTTCTGCAAGGTTTTGTTGACATTTTCTGCAGGAGTTTAAAGGGCTCCATGGGTCTATCCTCGAGCCCCCCTAGACCCTAAACCTGATGAGCCCTGATTCTGCTATGAACCCTCGACCCCAAACCACAAAACATAAACCCGGAAATGCATGGCAAGCTTGGGCCCTGGCTTTCACGTCGTCATCTTCCGCACCGGTGACTTTGAAGTCCTGTCTTAGGGCTCCAGTCTGCGAGTCAGATAGGAGGTTCAATGAGTAGAATAGGTATTTTTTTGGGGGGGGGAGAATTAAATATAGGGACTATAATGTTATAATATAATGAAATAGGGACTATAAAAGGTTATAATATACTTAAATAGGGACTATAAGGTTATACTGTCACTAGTACCAGCTCTTCCGACCTCTGTTTGTATCCCCACATCCATCGGCCAGACTCGAAGCCCCTGGACATTCTGCGCTACCACCCACTGCAGCAATATCATAACTCACCCTAAACCCCCAGTTACCTACTATATAGGGTACTAGAGCCCCTAGGGCCCTATATGGTAGGTACCTGGGGGTTTAGGGATAACTCACCTTGTTATTCTTACTGCCTCTTTCTTCACGAGTTCTCTCATGCTGAACATGAGATAACTGCCATTGCAACTTGAAGGCACCAGGGAATCACATCGAAGTCGAAGATCTAAAGCTGGGGAATCCAAAGGCTTTATTTTCAGATTTTACTTAGACTTGGAGTTAACCCGGTCACTCGCTCTATCTCTCTTCCTCGCTCTCCCTCCCCCTCACTCTGACGAGGCCTCATCAGCTCTTTAAGGAGTGGTGGTGAGCATGCATTCTACTTGCCGGGAGTCTGTGGCTTGCTATGCCCGCTTTGGAATTCCTGGGAGTAGGGTGTCTGGCATCTTCGCTTTTGCCTCAGTCTCTTTTCGGGAGTCCTTATTATTTCCAATAATCACGAGCCTTCTACTTAGGGCATGCCTTCGAGTTCCTCATCTTTCATCGGTCCTTGAGAATCTTCTTGACCTTGTCGGTGGCTTTGTCCCACTCAGCCTCGAACCTGAACGCGAAGCACAGAGCAGGAAACCAGCCCGGTCGACCCTCACCTGTACGCCTCTCGACATCTATGGCAAGGGGTCCCTAAACCCTCAACCCTAAACCTTATAAACCC